CAGCCTGGGCTGTAGAACGGGGGGCGGGGAGGCGGCGGCTGCAGACCCGAGGCTGCAGTAAGCACCCCAGGGCGTGAGCACCCCAGGACGTGACCACACGGGGCGGGGGGCAGGTTCCACCTTTCCTTTTCTGCTTTGACCCTGACCCCCGGTTCCCTCACCGCACCCGCCCCTCTCCCGGAGTCTCGCCCGCGCTGAACGTTAGTGAATGAACGCGAGTGCTTTTCACCCCGGTACTCAGCTCCGGGAAGGTCTCCTGCCGCGTGCGGTGTGCGCTGTGCGCTGGGACCCCGCAAGGGTATTTTGAAGAGCTTTCCGGGTGATGCCGGCGCCGCGAGGCCGGACGCACCACCTCTCCCATCCCGCAGGGGGCGCGCCAGGCCTCCCCTGGCTTCCTTAACCGCCCAGCAGGAGGCTGGGCCTGGGCGCGCAAAGGTGGCTTGAAGTGAACTTTGAAGGTCTCTAGTCAAGGTCTGTCTGTCTGTCTGTCTGTCTGTCTGTCTTTCTCTCTTTCTCTTTCCTTTTCTTTTCTTTTCTTTCTTTCTTCTCTCTCTTTCTTCCTCCCTCCCTCCCTCCCTTTCTTCCCTTCCTTCCCTTCCTCCTTCCTTCCTCCCTTCCTTCCTTCCTTCCTTCCTTCCTTCCTTCCTTTCGTCTATTTTTATTTATTTTTAATTTTTATGGGATATCTTTTTGAGAGCTGCTTTCAGTTCACAGGAAAACTGGAGAGACAGTGCAGAGATTTTCCATACACCCCCTGCCCCACACGTGCATAGCCTCCCATGATCAACATCCCCACCAGAGGTACATTTGTTACAATTGGTGGACCCAACAGACACATTAACACGCAGAGACCAGTTGGCATTAGGGTTCCTGCGTGGTGGTGTACATTTGATGAGTTTGGACAACTGTGTAATGACATATACCCACCATTATGTTATCATGCACAGTAGTTTCACTGCTCTAAAATCCTCTGTGCTCTGCCTATTCAGCTCTCCCTCCTCCATAACTCCTGGCAACCACTGATCTTTTTACTCTCTTCACAGTTTTGCCTTTTCCAGAATGTCATATAGTTGTAATCATATAACACATTGCCTTTTCCAATTGGCCCCGTGAATGTAGTAGTATGCATTTAAGGTTCTTCTATGTCTTTTCATTGTTTACTAGCTCATTTCTTTTTAGTGCTCAATGACATTTCATTGTGTGGATGTACCACGGTTTACCCACTTACCAAATAAAGAGCATATTGGTTGCTTCTAAGTTTCGGCAATTGCAAATAAAGCTGCTATAAACATCCATGCACAGGTTTTCGTGTGCACATAAGTCTTTTTACTCCTTTGGGTAGCTACCAAGGAGCATGATTGCTGGATCACATAGTAAGAGGATTTTTAGTTTTCTAAGAGACTGCCAAACTGTTTCCCGAAGTGCTCATACCATTTTGCATTCCCACCAGCAATGAATGCGAGTTCCTGCTGCTCCTCAGCCTCACCAGCATTTGGTGGTGTCAGTGTTTGCGATTTTGGCCACCTTACTAGGCCTGTAGTGGTATTTCATTGCTGTTTCTGTTTTGTTTTTTTAATAGATTTTTATTGATTTCAGAGAGGAAGGGAGAAGGAAAGAGAGATCATATGGTGTTTGCCTTTCTCAGAAGGGATTAAGGATATTATAACTCAGTCTTTACCCTGGCTGTGTGCAATTGGGATGACATTTTGTACTGGGGATCCGCCCACAACCCAGGCATGTGCCCTTATTCAGAATCAAACCCTGGACCCTTCAGTCCACAAGCCAATGCTCCATCCACTGAGCAAAACCAGCTGGGGCTACTTTGCAATTCCTTAATGACGTATGTTATGGAGCATTTTTTCCCAGTATTTGATATGTAATTGATATCTAACATTGTCTTAGTTTAAGGTATACAACATAGTGATTTGAAATATGCATATGTTGCAAAATTATTACCATAATAAGTTTAGTTAACATCCGTCACTCACACAGTTACAATTTTTTCCTAGGGCTGAGAACTTTTAAAATCTACTCATAGCAAGTTTCAATACAGTATCGTTAACTAGAGTCACCATTCTATACATTACATCCTCAGAACTTATAACTGGAAGCTTGTACCTATACTCATTCTTGCCAACCTCCGCCTCTGGCAACCACTAATCTGTTCTCTATTTCTGTTTTATCTTTTGGTTTTGGGGTGTGTTTTTTTTAGATTCCACATATTGGTGAGATCACACACTATTTGTCATTCTCTGTCTAACTTACTTCATTTAACATAATGCCTTCGAGATCATCCACGTTGTCACAAATGGCGGATCTCCTTTTTTATGGCTGAATGTCTGTGTAGTGTGTATGTGCGTGTGTGTGTGTGTGTGTGTGTGTGTGTCACACACACCACATTTTCATCCATTCATCTGTTGATGGAGCTTAGATTGTTTCCGTAACTTGGCTATTGTAGATAATACTGCAATGAACATAAGGGTGCAGATATCTCTTTGAGAGAGTGATTTTATTTCCTTCAGATACATACCTAGAAGTGGGATTGCTGGTCTTATGGTAATTCTATTATTAATATTTTTTAATCCTCATCTGAGGATATGTTTTTATTGATTTTAGAGAGAGAGAGGAAGGGCGAGAGAGAAGAAAAAAGAGAGAAACATTGACCAGTTGCCTCTCTTACCTACCTTGACTGGGGATCAAACCCAAAATCTAGGTATGTGCGCTGACCGAAAATCAAACCTGCAACTTTGGCCTACAGGATTATGCTCCAACCAACTGAGCCACCTGGGAGCCATGCTGGGGCACAATTAAAAAATTCATTATTTTTAATTGTTTGAGGTATCTCTGTACTGGTTTCCATAGTAGTTGTACCAATTTACATTTCCACCAATAGTGCACAAAGATTCCCTTTTCTCCACACCCTCTGTCACCAACACTGTGATCACCTGTCTTTTTTATAATAACCACTCCAACAGGTATGAGGTGACAGCTCGTTGTGATTTTGGTTTGCATCTCCCTGGTGATGAGTGATGTTGATCACCTTTTCAGGTACCTTTTTCATGTATCTGTGAAGCTCCATTTCACGTACCAAATGGTTTAGACCGTTTTAAAATCTGATTGTTTTCATATTACTGAATTGTAAGAGTTCTTTGTAAATATTGGATAACAGGCCTTTATCAGGTGTGTATTTTGCAGCCAGTTCCGCCCAGTGTGGCTTCCCTTCTGTCTGTTCTCTCACTAATACCACACTTGATTACTGTACTTCATAGGAAGACTGAGGTCAGATAGTATCAGTCCTCCAACTTTATTCTTCTCTTTTAATGTTACCATTTTTTTCTTTGTTGATCTTCTTTCTCTTTCCTTTTTCTCTCCTAGTATTGTCTTTCTCTTACCTCCTCTACCTCTCTGTGCCGCTTATCCCTCTCAACTTTTATTTTTACCTCTCTTTTTCATATTTTTCCCTCATTTTGTCCGTTTCCTTTGGGGAGCCATCCTGGGGCACAAGAATAAAGTATGTGCTTTGGAGCCAGAGAAACTGCACATTTTAATATTGCCTCTGACACTTTAATTGGGATGACTTTGGGTAGTTACTACACCTTCCTAGATCCCAGGTCCCTCACCCACCAACCTGGCACAGGGATTCTGGCCCCCCTCCTCCATCCTCCTCCCGGTCTCCATTGCTTCTACTGAAATCATCGTAGGACTTTATAAGACAAAACCTTCCCAGCCTCTCCAGCATTCTACAAACATAGCACATTTGCCTCATTGTATTTACTTGCAGTTTATCTGGAAAATTATTTACATTTTCTCAACCATAATAGGCAAGAATGTCCTGAGTCCTACAAATGTTCTAACTGCCTGTACCAATTGGCCCCGGAAGCAGCAAAAAGAATGTTTAGAAGCATATGCAGCTTGTACGGCCGTGTGGACATTGAGTGGAGCTCTGTTTTTATCAAGATAAACCAAGAATAGCCAGTGCTTCCCTGTGAATACTTGAAAATAAAATTTTAATCCTCAAAAAAAGTTGGGTATGTGATAGATTTTATTATCGAGTCACCCAGTCCACCTTCTCTTATAGGGGCCTTGGTGTCCCTTCCTGAGGGAGGGCTATCTCCCCATCCTGTTGAGATGAGGCTTGGCCATATGACTTTC